ATGGACAAATAACAGAATCTAAGAGGGTCTCTCTAAAAGAGAAAAGCCTTGTAAATAGAGTAGCATCTGCTTTAAAGAGAAATGTAAGAATTAGTGTTTATAGTACGGTTATGTAGGGGTTTTTTTTAGTTAAGAAAAAATTCTTAACTGAAGAATTAATAAAAAAAAAAGTCTTAACTTCTGCTGAAGTGGCTGTGTTTAGTGGTTGCTGAATTCAAGCCTGTTCACTGACTGCAGAGGGTGTGAAATGAACTTTTAGACCCCTCGAGCAGGGCCATTGATGGCAGCATCCAGAATTGTCTGCTCTTCCTTGTAAAGGGTATTGAGGTAGGCAGATGACCTTACTGATACTTGAATACAGATAGATAAAATCAATTCAAATGCTACTCAGTGAGAATTTTTAACAAATGACAGGTGACAATTCTGTAAATAAGCATTTGGATATTTTTATATGTTTGACAAGAGTGCATGATAGGGAGGATAATATCTAAGAAAGCCAAGAATGGTGAAGTTATACTTACAATCCTTATCTTAGGGCCATGGAAGGACACACAAAGAATTGTGTTTGCTCAGACACTGATGTTTCTAATTAGGCTGTGAAATATCAGACTCCTTGGATTAAAATATGCCACGTTTTTCCTCATCTCTTAATTTAACTTTATTCAGATAGTCCCAGTTATCAGTGGAGTGTGGGAAAAAGAGAGAGGATTGATGTTCAGCATGTTTATACTACATTTGAGGTGTGGACAATACTTGTGTTAACAGCCAAAAAAAACTATTTTAGAAAGGAAATTTTTGATACCATCCTTACTTCCCTGTCTTCCAGAAAACCTTTGGTCACTTCTTTGTACCCTCCTGTTTTTATCATGTTTGGTGCATACCGTTACTGGTATAGTCAAAACCACGAGTAAGTGCTGAGATCTTAATAGGACTGAGGTGAAACTCGGACACAGATATGCAATCTTGCATTAATAAAAAAGAGAGAGAAAGAGACAGAGGAGAAACAGTGAGACCAGACTGGAAATGTGCTTGGGTTCCATATTTAAGTTAAGATATAACCCTAAAGAGCTGATACTAGTTCATGGCACAGTGCATTATATAAAGTGCTGCTGTTCATGCTGCTGTCGTAGCCCAGTGGCTGTCTCTAGCAGCACTGTGGAGATCTTACTTGTTGTAGTTGGGTCCTGCTATTGCCTGTGAATGGAAGAAGGATGGAAACAAGCAGTGTGAAGAGGGAGCTGCTCCTGGACTGTATTTGCAGGAAGCTGTAAATCCTAATCTGTGGGTAGGAGCGCATGAAGAAGGCAAAAGTCAGTTCCGAGGGTGGGAGAGCTAGACTTGTGTTCTGAGGCAGATGTCAGGAAGTTAAAGAGGAACAAACTGCTTCAACCCTGGGTTATTTTGGCTCGTTGCAGGGAAATGGTTGCAAAGGGACTGAAGACTGAGCTAGAGCTAAAAACAGTGTGAAACCCCCAAGCCCTTTAAAGCTCGTCTCTTACAAATACAAGAATCATCCAGAGAGCGGGGGTTAAGGGGATGGAAGCTTTGTTTCTAATGTTGTGTCTTGGTAGAAGAGCTGTTGTTTTTTTATTTTCTTTCCCCCCCATCTCCTCTTCTCCCATTTCCCTCTTAATTATGACCTGATGTCAGAATTCAGCCTAGGAAAAAGGTGTTGTTCAGCTGTTAACTTAAGCTACAGTGGAGACAGTGACACTCTGATTTATCATGTCAGTAGCAGAGACCACTTTTTAAAATTAACTTCTCATGCAGTTTCTGATGCTGGTTTTCCTGAAATTTCTTTCAAAGTTGTATCTTTTTATGATTCCATAAACCTTTGGTGCACAAAACCCGGTGAATTACAAACATATTATGTGTAGCAATTTATACTTGTTTACAGGCTTTATAAAAATTTCAGTAGCAAACTAGATTCAGGCTTTCAGAGATAAAGAAATGTACTAAAATTTTCATTAGCTACAGCTTCTAACTGCTAATTATGAATAATACTGATTTAATTAGAATACTTGCTGATGGTCCATTTGAAACAAATGAAAATACTGCACTGGACAGAGTTTGTTAATGTTCTTAACTCTTTCTATACAGCCTTATCAAAACAGTAGAATTTTCTATTGTGGTGTGTATATACCTTTTTGAAAATAGAAATCTTTCTTCCAAAAATGCAGAGGAAGTGGAGGCATTTGGTATTGTTGATTTGATACAAACTTGACAAAATTTCTTGGTTTCAGAGGACTTTATATTAGAAAGGGTAAGATGATTGAAGAAAGTCGTCTTATTCCTTTCCCTATGACTGTGTGTGGTAGGGGTATTTTTTGTTGGTGTTTTTTTTTGGTGTTTTTTTTTTTTTTTTTTTTTTGTAATGGCTGAATGCCAGGCCTTATGCTGTTTGAAATGGCAATTCTGAGGCCAGCTCATGGAAGTGTGTGGGGTTTTTTTTACCTTTGTTAGCCATTCAGTGGATTTCAGTATTTCAATTAGGGAGAAAAAAAAAATCACTTCAGTTCTCCAGTGTGGTTGTGCTAGAGGGCTTCACAGTATGCTATCCAGGTGGATGCTGCTGCCATGATGTGAATACCTTCCTGCAGGGCAAAGGAGCAGATCTGCAATCTTTAAAATGTTTGAAAGCAAAGGATCATCTGTATTGAATTCTAGTGTTCTGTGGTTTGACAACTTCAGTCATTTACATGGTACTCACAGAGCTGTGTTATGAGGGATTTGACTGTCAACTCATGCAGGTTGTGGGGAATAAAATACCTTGTAAAAATGTGTGCAAATACTCTCCTTTCCTCTTACATATGGACCTCTAACCCAGCAGAGGGTGTCAAAGCCAGTGCTGAGGCAGTGGCATGCAGCACTGTTTTGCTGTAAATAGAATAAGCTCTTACTTTCCTGCTCTCAACCAAAATGTTCTGAGAGCCTGCACCCTCTGTGTACAGGAAGGCTAGCAAGGAAATCTGCAGCTGATCCATTGCACTCATCAAAGAAGCTGTATTAAAACAGCTCTTATTTTATGTGCAAAAACCTGAGATCTCTTACAGTAGTTTGAAAGCTGAAGATAAATTATTGTGCTGTTACAATGCTACATTATAAAATAATCCAAGATATTTATAGATTGATTTCTGCAGTTAGACTGTTTGCATAAGGTAGGCTAGGTTGCAGAATGACTTTAGGTAAGTGCAGTATTTTAGGTCCTGTATCTGTGGTAGAAAATGAGCCTATGACTTAGAAATCTCCTACACCTATATTAAAATAAATAAGTAAAAAAAATTGTAGTTATGGAGAATTTGTTGTATCAGTGGTTGGTTACCCTCACTGTTCCATAACTGCAGCCTATTTGTTACTTAGTTTGTCTATCTTCAGCATCAACCATTCATCTTGTTAAGCACTTGCATGTTGTGTTGAACTCTGTATTATAAAATTCCTGTGATCTCATGGACATTAAGTCATTCGTAAACCACATGTTTTGATTACTTAAAATTGGGCCTTTTTTTTAACTGAAGTCTTGTTTTGGAATTCTTTGAAAATTGGAGGAGTTGCTAAAGTGATTTTAGCCACCTTCCTGAACTCACATAGTTACCTATTCTAATGCATGGAATACCACTAACAATTATATGGCCTTTTTTAAAACTAGCCTATTAAACACCTTCTGAATCAGCCATTACATTGTTTTGTATAAGTAGTATTAACATTTACCAGGCAGATTTTTCTCCCAGCTTAAAAATGCTTGATAGTACTTAGAGCTAGTTACTGTATTTTATTCAACCCCTCGATGCATTGTTGGTTTTCAAGTGAACACCCTCTCCTCTTTAACTCAGCTGCAGTGTCAGGTATGTGTTTATGCAGGTAATAAGATTGACTGTTTCTATCATAACTCCCTTCTTCATAATCGTTTCTTTGCCTCTGATCCTTCAGATCCAGCTCCCTGCCCCCTAATAACCACCATTTCCATTATGTCCATTGCCTCTCCCAATAGCAGAAAACTTGCATAAAGAAACAACACTTTCTGCATCTGCAGCATCTTTAAAGGGAGGGAGCTCCAGAGCAGCAGGTTCTGAGGAAGCAGTTTATTTGACCCAGGCCATTTTCAAGGAGATTACCATTCAGACCTGCAGGTTATCGGAGATGTGCAAATGCAGTGTACAGAATGCTAAAGTTACAGATTTTCTTCTTAACACATTAAGGTGCCTGTGCTTTTATGTATTATCCCACCTCTGTTTCTTCAGATGAGTAAAGAAAGTTGCATGCCTTTATAGTATTTTGATGCTGCATTTGACTTAACGGGGGAAAAAAAAAAAAAAATTGATCCAGGAAGGAAACATAACGTATAATCACATCTGGTAGTTGCTTGCCAGCAGTACAGCTATGTACTAAGATTGCTCACCATTTTAAAGAATCTTTGCAATGCCTTCAGTAGTTCCTGAATGTCAGAATAATGAATCTTTTGTGTCATGTTCTGTTAAAAACAGTTTACAAGTAGTAATGATGTCTAGTTCTTCAGGTTGTTTTTGTGATTCAGTGACTAATATAACTGTAATTTCAATTCCTTTCACTTGTTGGTCATCGGGGGCTTCAGGTTGTATTGCAGTTAAGGTGTTACACTAGGCTAAATGCTGTAAAATGATAGCATTTGTTCTTCTTTTTCACTATCATCAATCTTCCACAGTCATGTCAGACCCTAATGTATCAACAGGCTTCCCAGAGCTACTGGTTAAAATTACCTTTGCTTTTGGTAAACTATGAACCTTCAAACCTCTGTGTTTTCAGCTGCCCCCTGTGGATTCTGTGAAGCCTCTTTCTGGCACATTACTCACTGCCAACTACTTGCGTGATGTCTCAGAGCAGCAAAGGCACTGCTGCTGTAACCAGCTAACCACCAGATTACTATTAAATTTACTTTTTGTTGTTAGAGGAATTCTGCCAACAAAGCATCAGAATATACTAAACCAGTGCATTAATTAGTGGTGCAAAATACAGCTGAAAGTTTTCAGAGGTGTCCAAGCTCACAAGTCCTTGGAGTAAAAAAAAAAAAGAAAAAGAAAAAAAAATTAAAAAAAGAAAAAAGAAAAAAATTAAGGGGGAAGTACAACAGTAAGGATAATAAAAATATGAAAGCTGTGTCATGCCAAATGTTGTTTAATTACAGTTTCCAATTTTAAGATAGCTGTCATTAAACACCTATTAAACTACTGCTGTTGATACATTAGAATAACAGAGTTGCTTCTGGATATTCTGGTGACCATTTGGTGCTACAGTCCACCCATCTGCGTGCCTGTTCTTTCACAGGTAAAAGACCATCCCTCTTGACCATTCCTCTGTTGTAGGTGAATACACACATCCCATGAGAATAAGTGGTCATCAGAGTACTCCATCATTTTGAGTTGCCTTTCCCCAGCCTTTCTCCTTTTAAGCTCTTGATCTTTCGCAGTCTCAGTTCAGAGCTTCAGTGATTCCTCAGGCCAGCGCTACGGGAGCCTCCAGGGAGAGGGGCTGCGGCACCCTCTGCTTTCCTGGGGCTGGAAGTCTCCCTTGAAATATTTAGGGGCCAAATCCATTGTAGGATGCAATATGGGACCTCTGTCCTTGTACATCTGTTAGAGGAGCATGTTCTCAGTTTAAATTGGTTTTCAGTATTGTTTGCGAAGAAGGAGATCCGTTGAAATCATGGGTTATCAGCAGCAGTGGCCTGACCTGGGTTAAGGTGGTACTGGGTTTCCTAATCCAAGCTGGGCCTTTCGAGTAGGAAAGTACTTCCCTCCTGTGCCCATCCTCCCTAAGAAAGTATGATACAGGTTGAGATATCAGCCTTTCTAAAAGACAGGGCACACTGGCAAAGCAAAACCCTTAACTGTAGGAAACGAGTAGAGTAAAATTATTAGTCTGATCAACTAAAACTATTAACCTGATTGTTTAGATTTGAGACCACTTGTCTATTCACTATATCTCTGTTTCCAGTATTCATACAGAGATGAATTCTGAATAGATGAGGCTAATTCAGAAGCGCAGAAGTGATGCAAGATCTGTGTTAAATAAAATTATGTGAGGTTCATACTCTAATTTTTGTAGTTTGCAGTGAGAGTGCTGATTTTAATCTCTGGCTGTGTTGCAAGATGTTTCATTTTAAAATAAGGTCAATTTGTATTGAATTGACAGAATTCAGTTGGTTTTCATCATCTGGATTCAGTACCTAAGAAAATATTCCACACAAAATTGAAGTAAAAATCTACATAGATCTGTGACTCATTTTGCTGTTAGGCAGTCATTTTGGGGGGGATATAGGGAGAAAGTTCAGAGACAATGCATCAAAGTTGCCACTACCATTATTTTTTGTAACTTCTTCTTTTTGTTGATCTGTCACATATGAACCCATCACTCAGAAACTTACTTTTTTAATGGCTTCTTTTACAGAACTGAAACATCTCTCAGAATTTTTCTCTTCCAAGTAACTTGCCACAGATGAGTAGAGTCTGATTAAAATCGAGGGGAGAGATGTCCTGGAGTATCCAATGTAAATTTGCTCTGGGACAGTCGTAGTAAATGCTGCTTTTCAAGAGCAGATGTCTCCAGAGCCCGCAGCTCTGAGGCAGGATTAAGCCGGGACAGCCACAGATTTGGGAGCTGAAAAGCCCTCGCAGAGTCTGGTCCTGCAGCAGATGGCCGAGTCGCTCACAGGAACCTTGGCTTCTGCTGGGCTCGCGGGTTTTCCTGCCTTCCTCTCTGGGAAGCTGAAGATCCTGGATTTCAGGCTCAATTTTAGTTTCAGATTTTCAAACTAAATCGTGTTTATTAGTTGCAAAAGCAGCTTTTTCAGATTTGTATATTCTCAAAAGAACGGACAACTCATTTAAAAAAAAAAAAAACAACCAAACAAAAAACCAAAACCAAACAAAAAAACCCAAGCCATGGAAGAGAATTTCTAGCTGTTGTTATTTCCAGTCACAGTGATAAGTTTGGAAAGGGAGGGGGGGGGGGGTGGGCGGCACGCACGGGTAGTATGTTCCCTTGGTTCTCTTCAGAAAAAAATAATTACTTTTGAGCTGCTTTAAAAGCAAAAATTGGAAGTATTCTACAACTGAATAATTCTGGCAATTAGATATCAGTAGTGAAAATAAAGCTGCATTGGATGAAATAGATATCTAATTCATGTGTATTTTTATCAAACTGAAGAGTCGTAAGTATGAATTGAAATTATATGTGTAGCAAAATGAGAACTATAGAAGATGGAAAAATGTTTTTCAGCCAGGAAAACTGTACTTCTACTACTATATAACAACAGAAATTTTTATTCAAAAATACTTGTGTATTTATTGCAGTTGGTACACCTTATTATATGTCTCCAGAGAGAATACACGAAAATGGTTACAACTTCAAATCTGACATCTGGTCTCTAGGCTGTCTGCTGTATGAGGTAATATTGATATATACAGTGAACGTAACACTGTTGTGCTCTCCATCACCCTCCCCCTTCCCCTGCCCCCCAAATATATTAAGTACTGTTTCAGGATCTATTTGTATATTTTTGTTATATTATATTCTATGTCTGTCTTGAATATTAGCAATGAGAATACATAACTTCAGCATATGAAATGCTTTTATTTTTGTGTTAGTCAAGACTTGCTTTTTACTGGGCTTGCTACAAAGATTTTATGGCAATTTGTTGAAGATTGGGCATAACTGAAGGATTAATAAATGAATAATGGCAAGCACATGTAAAATCGTTGTAGGTGTTTTAACGGCCTATGCTGATTATATGATTTTGGTAATAAATGCATTGAGAAATAGTGGGACTGACGAGTATGCAACTAATGCTTTCAAAAACTGCAATATAGTTATTTTAATACAAGTTTAATTTCTTTAAAAGTATTTAAAACCTAAGTAAAACAATAAAAAAGGGTTACTCTGTACTTACTACTACTAGGTTGGATGAACTTCCAAGATAATGACTTCTTCTGCACAGACATATGTAACTTTTCTACTCTTTCTTCTCCTCCAGTTGGTTAAACTATAATTATTGGTTAATTTCTGTATTAATATGGTTCAGATTGGAAGGTGACACATAATTTTAAATTATGTTATTTTGTGAGAAAACAAAGATACAGGGCAAATTGAAATTGAGGTGAATGAAGGTCTGAAGAACAGGTAGGCTTCTAAGGCAACTACATCTTCAAAGTTCTTTGCATATCATTTGTTGATCAAAAGAGTAAACACTTGTGTTGAAGGATGCTGGAAAAAAAATTCTTTCCATCAGCAATGGCAGTGAAGTCTTTCTAGTCATGTTCCAGGTAAAAACTAATATACTGAACTCACTTTTCATTTACCTGCAAGCCACCTGCCTCAGTGAGTCAGCAGAACTCATTTAACTCATACTCAACAGGATTGGCACCTCCTGTTATTTTAGGATTTTGTAGGAAACATTGCCAGCCTGTTAAAGTTGTATGTTACTACTAGGTGAATTGTCTCCAATAATATTAGTTTACGTTCTATCACTAAACATGTTCCTTTGAATATTAAAAGGGTGAGTAGCTGTATTGCAATTCTGCAGAGTTTACAGATCTATGTATAGCTGTTGCTTCTAAATCTTTGGGACAATTCACAGGAATGAAGTCCAATACCGGATAGCAAGTATTTAGAAGTTTAAATCCTGAACTGAAACTTAATCCCATGTTGGGATTCCTTAGTATTCCATCAGTTTTAATGCTCTACTTTACCCACTTGTGCAAGCAGAAGCCTAAAGATTGCATAAATGTAGATGAGGATTTTTCGGTATTACTACTTCTTTTCCCCTCATTGGTTTTCTCGAGGATTTCTTTAAATCTGGAAACAAACAAATGAAGCCCTTGAATAACTAATTATATATAAACTAAACATGTTTAAGGTTATTTTTTCTTCTGTGTTACATGAAATAAAATTGCTGGATAGAAATCAATAGCACTTTTCTAAGGATTTTTTTTTTTGAGCTTGCTGCTTTCATGCTGGTACAGTATATTAAACACCTATGTGAATATTAAATTCGTCTTTGATCTGGAAAATAATTTCAAAATAGCTAAATACCTTAATTCCATTGATTAATTGAGCATCTTTAAATACCGTTCTCTTTTTATTTATTTTAGAAGTTTTTCCGGGATGGTTTTTAAGTTGATATGGTGGTGTGTTCGGTTTTTTCTCTCATTGTAAAAATAAAGCAATTATTAGGATACTTACAGTTGCTATATATTATATTATATAGCTGTAGTATATGGCAGTGTCTTCAACTATAGCTTTTAATTTTTTGAGTTGCATTTATCCCATTTAGTTAATTCTACAACATACCAGATGTTTGTGGTGGGGTGTTTTTTGGTGTGGGATTTTAGGGGTTTTTTTGATCATTGAGATGTAATTTTGAAATTTTAGGTATAGTAAGCTCAAAATGTATGCTTTGCATTTTTCTTTCTTTCTCTCTCTCTCTCTCTCTCTTTTTTAATATTTGAAAGTGGTTACTTCAGGTTCTTGAAGACATGCATGGACTAATGTGTGGGATTTTTATTATCCGTGCAGCTTTGTGCTGGGTATTGTTTTGTGATACGTCTATTGCCTGCATTTTAGCGTGTTTTATTATATTGATTTCATGTTGATATGTGTTCATATGTGCTCTGGATTCTCTCCAGCTTAATTGGAGAAAAGCTGTGGCGTGTTTATCACTTCTCAATAAATGCTTAATTGTTGCTAAACTCTTTTCAGTTGTTTTAAGTTCAGACTAATTTGCTATAATGTATGTTGTTTTTAAAAATTATTATTTCTGGCCTATGTTACAGTCCATTATTCAAAGCTAACTATGTGGCCAGTAAGATTTTTAAAAGTATATTTTAAAGTCTGATTTTTTTTTTTTTAGAGCCTCAGGTATTTCTGAAACCTCAAAAACACTACCACTAGAGTTTTAATTGATATGCAACAAAGTAGACTTTACTAATTAAAATCAAGATGCTGTGCTTTTGCTACATGGACCTTTACACGGAAAAGTAGGTTTTACACATTTCCTTTTATTGTTCAGCGTAGCAATTGCATCCTTACAGGGTTGTAGGTTGGTGGCTTACAGTTCAAAAAAAAAAAAAAAAAAAAAAAAAAAAAGAAAAAAAAGAGAGAGAGCGAGCTGCCACCAGCCCCGAAGACAGACAGTGGGCTTTCGTCCCTCAGACACCCCCGGAATACTAATCAGGAAAGTCAGACCCTGGAGGTCAGGGAGCAAGTCAATCATTCTAGCGATCGTCTCAGTGTGGAGGATCAAATTAGCCTGAAAAATTCAGCTGCTGGGAGGAGAGGGCGAGCAGCTGTCAGGGGCAGCAGCGAGATGCACTAATGAACCAGATGAATAGTGCAAAAGCTTGAAAATAAAAACAGGACAGTTGACATTTTTCATCTGTCAAAGCAGGAGATGCATGAAAATATAGTATTCCTGTTTTAACTCCTTAGGGGACATTCAGAATTTTTTTAACACTCTGCAGCATTCAAACAAAAGTACTTTTTAATGAACACCTAGAGTACGAAAATGAGTATCTGTGCATTTATTTAGAATTTCTGCATGTGTACAGATCCTGCAGTTGATTTTTCTTTTTTTTTTCTTTCTTTCATTTCTTTTTCGGTCTTCAGCTTGCGTTTTTAACATTCTTTTTAAGGTAAGAGACAATGTCATGTAAATCAAAAAATTAACATTATTTTGGTAATACAGAATTTTTGGGAGTAGTGTAGGATGGAACTGTAGTATGGTATTTGTTTTAGGAGCTTTAAAATCATTCTTACTTGAAGGTAATATGAAAAAGTACTGAACTGTTTAAGAGCATTTTTATCAGATATAAAGTAAATTTTGGTAATTTGCTTCATACATTTTCCCTTGGTGATATTGGTGCTTAGACATGAAAGAGTTAAACTACTATCTGGAAGACCACAAGACAGATGAGAGCCATTTTCAGCTTGTCCTGTCCCTGCTGAAGCTCACTGAGTAGCACAGCATGGACTAGCGTGTTTCACACACACTCTGCCTGTCTGGGGAATGCACACATTGTCCTTCCAAAATCAAACTTATTAGCACATGTAGAAAAGGGTGACTGACTTTGGGGCAGCACTGCACTCAAAGCAGCATTCGTGCTGCTGCGGTTCAAAGACTTAGAAGGCTTTGAACAGAATGGAGCGATTTTAAATGAATTTTCAAATTTGTAATCCTGCTAAGCATAGCATTTGTTTCCACCTTAAATGTCAAGTTGTAACATTGTCTGGAAATAAAGCATAGGTTTACTAATGATGGTCTTAAGCCGATCATTTATTTAAGTGCTCTCCAACAGATACTCTTGTATTAGAAATGTAAATTATAGTCATGGGTGCCAGTTCTGCACTTCTGATGATGTTTTGGGATTTTTTTTTTAAAGTATTTTTGAGTAACATACTGAATTACGAAGTTTTTGGGTTTGGGTTTTTTTGGAAGTATAGATATTACCTTTAGTTTTCTTGCTTAAAAAAAAAAAAAAAAGCTTTATCGAAGTCTAGTAATAGCTATGGAAGGTTACAAAATCTACTGCTGTTATCCAGCATTTTCACTATACAGTACTGCTTTAGATCAGATAGTGTTTTCAAATAAATTATGCTTTTTTCCAAAAGGTCTTAAAAGGAAAATGACATTGTGGGTTTTTGGGGTTTTTTGCCTCCCTCGTGGTACAAGGACCCTCCATGCTCACAGCAGTATCGGAAACTACTCAATTTCTCTTCACACTCTACAGTAATGGTTTTATTAATGTACAGTTCAAATATTGCAATATAAGGATTGTGACAGGTATGACTGTGTGACATAGAATAAGTACACACAGTGGTTACAGTAATAGTTTTGGAACTTCTGTTTTTAGCACTGTGACACTTCTAAGCAGGGAATCAAAAGTTGATAAAAATCACTTTTGATTTGTTAGTATTCCAGATTTTATGACAAAACAGGTTTACTTAAAAACACAAAACTGTACATTTTCTTTAAACAGATGGCTGCGCTGCAGAGTCCCTTTTATGGTGATAAAATGAACTTGTACTCCCTGTGCAAGAAGATAGAACAGTGTGACTACCCACCTCTCCCTTCAGATCACTATTCAGAGGAAGTAAGAAATTTTCCTTTTCATGGGCTAGATCCTTGGTTTATGTAAGCTGGCACACTTCTGGGGAAGTAGATGAACTTGTGTGATTTATGTTATTTGCAGATTATGCCCATAAGTGTTTGCTTGTTGAACTTGCTTAAATGTTCCTGTCAAAACAAGTCAATGATATGATTCTCAATTTCGGGGGATTCATGATGGAAACCTCATACTTTAGCTTCTTAGTTTCATTGAACTTCCTTGCAAGTATGACAAAATGCTTTCCCAGAATGCACAATGATATGTTCTACATGCCAGAATGGGACTGAGTCTTACATCTATTGTATGCTTTTCAAAAAGCACAACTATACAAGCTTATGTTGCACAGTAAATTAGTGCGCTAGCCTTGTTTCTCTAGGTGCTTGGATTAAAATAGATGTAATGTAACTCACTAGTAAAAATGAATTGTTTAGTTCCCATTTGTCTACATTATAAAACTGCAATGTGCCTTTCGATACAATTGAACGGCAGTTCTTTTGCAAGAGAGAGTGGTTCTTGACAACAGTAGTAGTAAATTTCAGAGAAATATAGGCATACAAAATATAATTGAATTTGAACAATATACTCATGCATATCACAGCAGCGTTTGTTTTAAGCTGATAGATAGCAGTTCTTTACTGTCATTAATGTATGTATGGGGGTACTTGCTTTTTTAAGCTCTAAAATGAAAAGAAACTAAACAAAATAAATATTTTTCTTAATGCGAGTAGCAGAATGAAAAAATATAAATGTTTGTTTGTTAATGTTCCGAGATGCCAGTTTTGAAATACTTTCCCACTTTGAAAAGAACAGGGCAAACTGATAGAAGCTGTAAACCAAACAACACGTATTAGTAACCAATTCTAATTTAATTCAGCCTACATGAATTAAAGATTACTTTGAAAACGCAAATAAACACGAGCACTGAAATACTTTTAATAAACATAAAGAATTGTGCAATTTCACTTAGAGTAGGGGTTGTAATTCTGAACCTTAAATTTTTTTACATTCAAAGACAGTGATTGGACTATTAATAAAAGATTACTGCCCAGTATTTTGTTTTGTTTTGTATTTATAGTGACAGTTTTTCCACTTTTATGAAGAAACCTGCACTTAAAAAGATAATTCAGTGAAGTTACAAAGGATGAAATAATGATCTGTTGTGTAATTTATGCATTCTACCTCTTTGTGGGTTTTCCAATTAGTCATTTTACCTGGGCCATTTTTAATTATTATTTATTGTGGACTATAAATATGGCAGTTCATATAACCAACTTCAGAACTGGAGGCCTGGAAATACAGTAGGGTGTGAACAATAATACTAAATGATAGCAAGAATGTCAGGGGCCGTTCTTTGTTGTGTCATTCATGCTGTCTTCCTTTTTCCATGAAGCGCATGAATATTTCACATATCTGCATCCTCATCCTCTATTCTTCTTGACTAATTTTCAGACTGTCTGAATTTGCATTTCACATGGTAGCTGATTAGGAGATGCCGAGTGCAGCAGCGAAGCCTCAGCAGGCGGTTTCCATGGTGACCTTCAGCAGTATTTTAATGATGATCCCACTAGTGGTTCGTTGAAGTTGGCCTGCCTGCAGGGCTACTTCACTGCAGCTAAGTGTGAAGTTGGATATGCGGATTCCCAGCCAAGGGGCAAATATCAAAGTCTGGCCCAGACAGAAGGTCTTGTCTTAGAGTTTGGATGGGGAAAGAGATTCCACCTTTTACTTACATCTGTATAGTTTCTAGTGTTGCAAGCAGATGCAGAGCACAACATGTTATGTGTTCTTTATTTCAAAGCAGACACGTACTTCTGCACCTTGGATAAACCAGTTATTTGCAAAATACACATAAGTTATTTTAAAACATAATGAGAGAATCAGAGCTATGATAGGTATGAAGATAGGTATGAAAATAGTTACTTAAAAGAAGTGATCAACTATGGAGACGATAATGGGAACATTTTTTTGTGTTCTGATATGAAGACCTGTGTCTTTGCTAAGGTACGTGGAAAAATAGATATGTTTACTGCACCAAAATATACCTTTTTTTTTTTTTCCTTGGATGAAAAAACCTGTGCTGGCATGAACTGTAAAAAAGCAGAGACAAACAAGCATGTGATGTTAGGATACTGTCCTAAATGTTTCACCTGTACTGGAAATTTAGATTTCAAACCTTTAACCAGGTTGGAAGCACACTCGGTGAGCAGTAAAGATCAGGGATCACCGAACAGTAAAACCCATTTCATATTTTATAACAACGAATTTTCTGCAAGAAAAATTTCACTGAGTGTTGTTCTCTGCATCCTCTGATATAGGAGTGTGAATACTTTCATTACAAGATAAAAGACAAGTGCTTTTTAGAGATACTTTTTGTAAATAATTTTAATGAGTTTTAAGATGTGACAGTTTTTCTAAATTTTGAACTCTCTATAAGACTAACCTTTTAGTAATGCATCACATCCGTGTCATCAGAGAATAGTGCGACAGAAAGATGCACCTTAAGATAGATGGACAGATGGATAATTTTTTTTTTAAACCTTTGATTAGAAATCCTAGTAGTCTAAGATGTATTTTCACAAATGTTGCTTCAGCAGTAGAGTCATAAGCCAAGATTTTCAAATGTTTAACAACTTTGGATATTTCAATTTTTGAATATTCCTAAAGAATGGCTGGCATCCAGGGCGAGTACTTGGCATTTACTGAAAGCTGTCCTGCTTTAGGGAATTCAAAGCTGGGGCTCCCTTGCCACCCCCAGTCAATACTCTTAAAATCCTGTCAGCCAATATTAGTATCATGTTGTTTTCATGATAGATGAAATTTTTCAATCTCCCCTTTGATTGAGGTGCACTTCTGAAGTCCGTAGTCTACCTCCTACCCAGATGCGAAGGCTGAATTAGCCAGCAGGTCTAGAATGGCAGTGTTAGTTGGCAGCAGAAGGGCTAGGGCTTGAGAACACTGAGAAAGGACTTCCAAGGTCTCCTATTCAGAGTAAGAAGAGTTTGGCGGGTTTTTTTCGATCCAGAATTTCCTATATGAAAATTTCTCATTTTCAACTGGCTAACAATGCAAAGTACTTGCCTGTCATAGTTCTGTCTTCCCCCACCTCCCCCCACCCCGGCTTGAGTGATAATTATTTATTTCATAGCTGAAAAACCTGCTAAAGTTGAAGAAAGCATGTCCCAGTGCTCCGATGTCAGGCTAAGCTCCAGGCTAAAGACAGTCGCTGTGCTAAGTGCACAGAGGAGGTTAAGAACAGTAAGCAGCTGTGGAAGTTTGCAGCTTGGGGATGCAACAGGAGGTCCCTCCAGCTCAGTCATAAGTCTGCCCTGCCTGTTGGCCAGTCTGTGCCAAATAATAAAAAATTACTCTATCTCTAATGATAGGCTGACTTTAGAATCCCAGTACCTCTTCCCATGGTACTGTTGGGCTCTTTGGCTACATCGGAAATTTTATTAATACTAGAGGGGTTGACAAATGGATTTCAGGTATATTGAAACGGGTGTTCCTGTAGGAGTTAAAGGAATAGTGCTATAACCAAGTATTAACATCCAGCGTGGTCCCAGTTTCGGTCCTGAAAGGCTGCCTTCCTGTGTAACGGTTTTCATCCTGTGCAGCAAAAATAATTCACCTTCTCCCAAAGGTTTGCTGTTCAATAACCAGGCTCAAAGAGCTCAAGGATTTTGAAATTACTCAGGAATCTATACTGTTATTGTGCAGTGTCCCAAGCATAGTCAGCTCAGCATTCCTGCCTTACAGCTGAGATTCTGGACTGGGGAGGGGGAAGGAGGTTTTGCAGTAATAGCAGTGACCAACATTTAAATGGTAAGACTCATAGCCAAAAAGAGATCTATGACTTTGTGGTTTATTTTATTACAGTAATAGTGAAGATTTGTCACTAATTGAGGTCACCTCTTGCACTATGTTGGGAAGAGAATTTCTGAGTAAACTGATTCAGTGACTGTCCCTTACTATGAACATATCCTTGTGGATCCTTTCTTGCATCCTAACAATAGTAGCTATGTATGCATTTTGGTTAGAGTAAAAAAATAAGCTGCAAAAAGCCACCAGTCAAGACACCATGTGGGTGAATGGATTTTGGAAGTGTACTTACAGTACCTAAAGCCTTACATGTACTTTTGAGTAACAATGCCATTTGCTACAGTGTCTTTCTAAGCAATGAATCTTCTTGGCCATTTTTTTTGAAGCTTTGATTTGTAATATACTGTGACAAATAACAAAGTAACTCTGAAGGAAGGCTTCCTGTTTAATGACTTAATGAACAGTTTGAGTCTGAAATTGATTTTTAGATGATAAAGTTCAATTTAGAAAACAAAATCAGAACTACCCACAGGCCAGGATTAGAAAGACATGAAGTAGCCTACTGGAGGTAAACAAGGCTTCCCATGCTTTTCACAGGTAAATTTCTTGAAGGTCTACTTCTGCTGTTTTACGCATGCTAATTGATATACAGCTGGTAAGAAGAGGAGAAAGAATACTCTGTTTCCCCTATCTGATGATAGCTTTATAGGTTTCAATCCTTCATGGTCTTTTACTAAGACTTTATTTACTGTATGCAGTTCTAGCGAACAGATGGAAGTCTTCACAGAGAAAGATAAATGTATATGTACAAGATTTGATGTTGTATTCTCCAGATAAATTACACTTCTATTCTCTTTCCAAAATGTTTACTTATTTGAGTCTAATTTCAGGCTTGGGGTTTTTGGATGTTCGTCAGTCTTTCCTGTTTTCCATGCAGGCTTTCTGAGGTGTTGCATAGCAAGCTGCTCATCTCTGCTAATACATTGTGCCTGTTGCTTACACTGTGTCCCACCTGCTTCTTCTACAGGAGATTGTTTTGCTTTGCATATTTGTATTACATGTTGGCAATTATTATTTCCTGCAGTAGTTCATGATTTCCAGTATTCCGTTCTCCAAATGATTTGGAGTTATTACAGGCTAATAGTTTTTCCTGTCAGTGGTATTGTATTTTATTTATTGGCTGCCAGAAGCAATATGATGGCTTTTATAACTCCATTAGCTGAAATATACTTAGCATATTTAAGATTCAAATAGCAAGTCGGTTCCAGATTATTTTGATTTAATGTTTCTTTTCAGTCCAGCAATATGACCACTGTTTTCAGAATTAATGATCTCATTTTTAAATATTAATCTCTTCTTTCTAAAGAAGGGGGATGTCTAGTGACATAGTTTTTGTATTCTTAAATATGAAAAGCCTGTACATTGTATACGATACACAATGTTTCTGCGAGGGCTAATGGGCAAAGTTTTAAATAGTGATATGCAATGTTTCTTACTTCTGGAGTCCCTATCCTGTGCATTTAAATTAATCTTCTGAAAAGTAAAGGAATATAATTCTAACTTAAAATCCTTCTTGGACTTTTTATAAAAAGCAGGAAGGAAACTCTCTCATGGGAGGTTTGAATATGCAATCTGTGTTACTTTTGAATAATCATGGTGATGAGGTCACTCTGTGTAGGTTGCAATAATTACAGATTTTTTCAATAGTCATACCTAATAGTACTGGGAGGGAGACTGAACCAAACTTGACATAATGCCATAGAAGGGTGGATCACAACGTATTGGCTTTTTTGTTTGTTGTTTGGGTGCCGTTCCTCTGCCCCCTAATGCTATAAGAGATCCTGAAGGATTTGGCAAAGCTACTAAAAAGCGTAAAGGAAGAGCTTTTGGGTTGGTTAAGTTGCTCTTGCAAAGGATTGTAAACATTTAATAACTTGTCATGAAGCAGGTGTATTCACATTACAAAACGCTTAGGAGATGCACACAATTTAAAATAGATGCCCCATCAGAAGGTGTTCCAGACTATGTTAAGTTCTAATGTCACCTGAGGCATATCAAGGGAGGAAGATAAACCTGCAACTGTTCTGCCAATTTGTGGAAGCAATGAGAAGTGTCTGAGTGGTGAGGAAGCTCTTTGGGGTTGCTTCTGCTGAATATGTGCACTACAGAAGGCCCGATTGGGGTTGGGCTAGATGACCTCTAAAGGTCCCTTCCAACCCAAAGCATTCTATGATTCTATGATTAAATTGTGGTGTTTGTGGAAACATGGAGTTTTCTAGTTAGTGACTTGTTTATTCTGAGATAGAGGCTTCTTTGAACATGTTTGTTAATTATGTGCTTCTTTCTATAAAGAAAAAAATCAGTGATGTAATCCTAAGAATAGATGCTGGGAGATAGACCAAAGGTTATTTATTCCAGTATTGTGTCTCCAGCATTGGGCAAGTGGAGTAACAGGGCCAGCATAACATGATACTTCCCCAAAATACTTTCCCAGCTTCCAGTTTTAAGTTCAGAGACTTCCTCAGTCAAAGGTGGTGTCTTTATATTAAGTAGCCCACAGTGGGTTTAATTTATTCAGTTGCTTTCTGAATGCATGTGTATTGGTAGCCTCTAGCAGGAAGAGGTTCTGCAGGTTAACTGTGTGTTATAAGGAGTATCACTGCCTTTTGTTTGTTGGAACCTGTCACGCAGCAATGCCATTCATTGCCAGCTAACCCTTGTATTGGGAGAGAATGAGCAAGCAGTCCCAACTTCTCCGTGCGAGTTTCGGTCTTCTGCAGTTTGCAGGCACAAAAGCACAGGAATTTTCATTTAAGTGATGTATAATGGGACTAAATGCATGTCTAAAGTTGTATGTTAAAAGGATTAGAACTTAAATCTGCTCATCATTTTTCCTGGACAACAGTACAAAATGTAAAAATCGCGGGAGTATGTTGCATACGTGCTTGCATAAAACTGTGTGCAGTGTGTTGAGAGGGAGGGTTGAGCGTGTGTGTGTTTATGCAGAATTGCTATCTTTGACTGTTTTTTGCCACTCTTATTAATTCGAATTTGATAATGCACAAATACTAATTGACAGGATTGTTGGCTTTCTTACATGTTATTTTCCTTTCCTAGCTGCGACAATTAGTTAATATGTGCATCAACCCGGATCCAGAGAAGCGACCAGACATAACCTATGTCTATGATGTAGCGAAACGTATGCATGCACACACTGCGACCAGCTAAACAGACATCAGATCATGAAGAAAAAAGCAGAAATAAATGAGTATTTTAAGTAAAACATCCCCACCTCTTCGTGTGTTACTGCAGTGTAATTATTTGAAGCTTACTGTTGTGCTTTGAATTGTAAACCAATTTATATACAAGCTTTGTTGTTTTCTGTTTATTTCTATTTTTTGTATTTTTTACTAAGTTGCAGTTTTACAACAGATTTAAATATGTAAAGCATAACTTTAAAAGATACCAAGAACCACTGTTTTCCATGTTAAGTGGGTTCAAGTATATTTTCTTTAACAACAAAATTGTATTCAGTTGGGCCTCAGTTCTAAAACACAGTTGCACTTTTGCACATGATACAGATATTAGGCTTATTATCCAGAAGCAAAATGTCTGAATCTCTCAGCTTTTTAGTAATTTCTGGAAAGTACGAATCGGCACAATCAACTTTATTTTAATCTTTGTTCTGAGAGGGACATAATTATTGTAGAAGGTTATTGTATTATATTGAATTGTAGTTTGCAGTTCTCGGTGTAAGAGTAGACAGATGATAGGATTAGTTCTCTGCTTGCCAAATGTGATGGGAAAATAGTTTCAGGAAAAATTGTCACACTGAAATTTTTGTAACATCCCTTTTTGTTTTGTTATTCTGTCATAATGCACATAAAACAGTTGTTGGAGGTTTTCTGGGAAAATTTAAGGTGTTGATTCTGCAATCCGATCGTTTTCAATAGACTTGTGCAGCACTGCCCTGGGGCAATAGGAGTCTGCATAGTAAAGTCTTAAAACCATGCAGATGCTTCTTGTAGCAAATGGGTCCTTTTGAGGTTAGCGTTTATGAGAGGTCTGATTAAAATATGTGATCTTTAAGTTACAACTTCCCACCTGTTTATGTATATGTCACTGTCTGTAGATTTTTGTGTTTAAAATAATTTGAATGACCTTGCAGTATATTTAAATTCTAAAATGTTTTTTTTAAATACAGAAACCTTTTGCAAAAGATATAATAGTGTAGTATAACACAAATTGTATTCTTCATGAATATCTAGTTTTCTATACTGTATCCTGAGAATTAGTTTTATATTTAGCAAAAGTAAATTTTAGCTTTTATGTTTAAGAGAAAAGTTGCCACTCTTTCATTTGGGAAATAAATATATATGCAAAATGTCTTACAAATAGTTTATTAGTTGTAAAGAAAATTCAGAATATTTTTGTTATACCTTAGTACCTTTTTGGGTATGCTTAAATAATATTTTTATTGTTAAAGAAAGAAGGTGTCTTGTTTTAAATGTGGTATAAATGGAGAATGGACTGAAATTCTTGAGTTTCAAAACTGAACTTTTTATACAGAACTGTCAAAACATAATTATTACCAGTGATATTGCTAAGAAGCTGTTACAGTCAGTTAAGTCTTTTTTCTTATATGGGTAAAAAGAAGTTAGTTCAAACAAAAGCAGCAGTATGTACATACACATAGAGGTTCTAGATGCAGTCAGTTCCCCACATGCTCAGATTTTTTTTTGTTTGTTTCTCTGTGCAGCTTTAATTTTTGATTTGATACGATGCTCAAAGAATAAAAATCCAACTGTGGGGTTTGTGGATGAAAAGTTCAAGCTAGGCTAGGGGTATTTTTTCTGGTTTTGTATTTTTTAAAACTACAAATACTATGGAAATTGTGTTTGGCAAAATACAGTTTTTAAATAGTGTGTGCCAGATCATCAGCTTATCTTAATACACGTGGGTTTGGTTTTTTAATTTTTGTTTCCAGGTTTTGTAGGATGAATCCTTAGTTTTCCATCTAGCTTCTGTGTATACTTAATCTTGTAGGACTTCAGTGGAACACTTTGTATGGAGGAAGTATTTGAGAAACCTTGGTTTGTGTCTAGCAACCTCTAGATTTGTTTTCATTTATTATCTGACTATTGAATTTTAAAAATGATGGTTATGTTCTATGACAATACTTCATATGTCATAGAATGAAATATTTTGTATTGGAAAAGGCAGCACAATACTTGCTTGTCTGCCAGGATTAGCTTTTAATATGCACAAGTACTCAAACAAATTTTTTTTTTTTCTGAAATGTACTAGAACATTTAAAAATGACTGAAAAAAACCCAACACAGTCAGGCTACTTGCATCTAATATTATGCATCAAGTATTGAACTTTTCCTGAAGGAAACCAATAACAGGTAATTTCCCCCCGCCCCCCATCTGGAAGGATACACTGAGTAAAGAAAACATGAATTAAGAGTTAGCAAATGTGCATACTTAAGCCTTTAAATTTTTTATTGTTGTTTTTTTAGTATTTATGATTAAATCTTGTGCTGAGGAAAAGAAATAGTTGTTCCTGTTTTAAAAATCTGTAAAATGAATGGTACAGATGACTAGTACCAAACTTTATAATTAAGAAGCCCATATGGGTTAATAGAACTGCTTATATAACTGGGGGTTGTAGAATCTATCCCCCAAGTAAAGCACCTAGTAACATATGAAAATTATAAGTCTGTTATAACACTCCTATGTGTGCTATACACTTACAAAATATTTTCTTTTGTAAAACACCGTTCTATTTTTCATGTGTTGTTGATGGTGACATTTGGCACTATTTATTTTAAGCTATGGCATTACATGTTTTATTTTCTTTAAAGAGAACGTGTTACATTTCTAACCAAAATGTCTTGACTAGCTCCTCGTTTTATTTCGGTAATGCTACAGTATTAACTGGCTACATGAGTGAACTTTGTGCTTTGAATGACATTGCATAGAATCTTTGTCTTGTCTTGAAAGCTCCCCTGCTGTGCAGTATTCCAATAGAAATAATACATACAGATATTAAATGTAATGTAAAAATCATAGTGTTTCTATTATATTTTTTCAAACTTTTCTTGTTACACATATATGTTACAGTAGATGTTACCTATCTTGTGGACAGTTTACTGCTTCCAGTAGTTGATTATAGCTGAGTTTTCCTGACTGTAACAAAAGACAGTACACTCAAAAAATCTCTTTCACATTATTTGTCAAAAATTTGTCTAAAAATACTACATCAGATATATTCACAATTAACCCAAAAGAGTGTTTTTATCTGAAATTTAAAAACAAATCTAAAATGATTTTTAAACCATATGAAAATATCTGAAAAGCATGAAAATAAGGAAGAGCTCCCATTATGGCCGCAGTCCTGTGAGCTCTTGTTTATAGGTAGGCTGTTTTTTATGTAATTTCAGTAATGTTGAGTGAACCTCACATGCCCACATGAATAAATAGTAGTCAGTAGGTATATAGAAATGATGTGTGCAGCTAACTTCTTGTACCTTCTGTGTGTCACTGGTTTGGTAGCAGGGAATAATGTGTTTGTTTCCCCCTCCCCCACCCCCCTTCTGTTGCACTCTAATGATCCAGCTACCAATTGTATGAGCAGGCAATAGAAGTATGTCGCCTTTTAGTAATGAGCAGAAACTTTAAAAACATGCCAATGTACAGGAAGATGAAATACAGTATTAGAAGTGTCTGAGAAGGCTGGTGTTTTATTCATGCTCATGATTAAGAAAGCCATAGAGTGAAATTCTTGACAGAGGCTTGGAAACAGAGGAGGACTACTTACGCCAGTGGTTCTCAGATATTGAATGGGACCCAAAATCGCAATGATGTTTGTTTTCAACTATCTGTCCACTTAATCTATGTCTTCACTGTTGTACAGCGAGATGAGAATCTTAATGGCTGAATTTGAATGCTGGTGGCAAATGCTACATCAGGTATTTGAGCTTCTAGGAATAGGAGGTTGATGTGAGGGAGAGTCAACGAAGGCCTTCGAGTCTTGCTTTGTGGAGAGTTAACTTAATCTGGAAGTAAATGTGCTGGATAGCAGAGTTCAAATCACTGCTTTTTCACCATTTTTAATTCTTCTTTAACAGTCAAAAGTTTTTCCAGCCCTGCTGTATCCCCACATCATCTAGCCAGTGGCAGTGCTGGTCTGTGGAATTTCTGATCTCTGGTTTGGTCTGGGTGAATAATTAAACCTTTCTGCCAAGAGCACCCGCAGAGGGAATACAGGCGCTGGGCATGCCCAGTGGGGTGTTACTTAGGTCTCTGAACATGACTCACATAGATTTTTAAGGTCCTTTTTCAAACTTTACTCACTTCCCTGAACCTTGTTCTTCAGTTGATGCTTTTTAAAAATTGTTTCCCTTTCATGTTCCCTTCTGAAGTCCTACGATTCCTGTCTTCCACTGCTTCTGCTTCATCTGTCCTGTTGTCTGCTCTACCCTCTTCCTGATTTGAAGTCCTCTGTGTCTAGTTTTCCTAGTGGCCATTAGTTTGCTTCTTTGTGACTTTGCTAAACTCAACCCATTTCTGTCTTCTCAAATTTTATCCCTTACCATGGGCAAGCCCTATTTTTTTTTTTTTCTTTTTTTCCCCCTGTAAGTACTTAACTCCATTGTTCTTCAGTCTGTTTTTTCCAGCCTGATGCCTTTGATTTCTAGTTTTAGACAGATTTTCTCCCTGCCTCAATCATTCCCATGACCTTGTCTTTACTAAATACTGTTCACTTTATTATCTCTCATTTCTAAATTCCTTTTCTCTGATCACTACCTGCTCTCTTTCAGCGTATCTGTCTTTCTCTCTCCTCTACCCTGTCACTCACTCCTTTTGGGATCTCCAGTCTATTAACCTTTCTGACTCCTTTACTCTTCTCAGCTGCCTCCTTCCTTCATTGGCCTCACTTCCTTTGACTCACTGGTCTTTATTTTCATCTCTATCTGCTTCTCTATACGTGGTTTCTTTGGTTGCTTCTCACAGTGCCCTGTCTCCATTCCTCTCCCCAGACATTTTTTTCTTGTAATTTCTTAATTTCCATTCCTGCCTTTCCAAATATCTCTGAAGAGTATGTCAGCACAACACAGCTTTGGACTCAGCTTTGCCTTTAACCGCTTTTATCCCACCTTTTCTTTTTCTTGCTGAACTTGCTTGCAGGTTTGCTGTTCATTTTATTTTCTCCATTCATTCTT